GATAACATCGAATTCCCCTTGCACTGCTCTGATAAGAAGCACTCAGAAGTGAAAGATTAAGAAAATGGTATTTTAGCAGCAACGATTTCGCAAATTAAATGCTGCTGGCACAACATACTGGACTGATTTAAAAATGGAGAAAAGGGAAAGTGAGGACCTGGTGAATACTGTCACACGCTGAAGTATTTAATTCAGTAACATCCACACTAGCTTTTTCCTCTGGAAGATGGAAGTAGCTCGAATGGTAGTGCTTGCGTAGCAACAACTGCGTGCTGATAAGGCTGACAGTGACTTCCTCTTCTGAGAGTTGCTGAAAAGCATGCTGATAGCATTTTGAACTCTCTGTGATGCGTATGTGTGAATTTGAAACGAATAAAAGAATCTTGCTTCTTGTTACGGTGCTTTGTCCGGTAGCAGGAAAGTATCCAGAAAATGAAAAAAAACCCGTAATACTTGTTTTTGGTAGGGAATTGTTGCTTTTTTGGTGAAGAATTTCTCTGTTCCAGGTGGAAAAGTATCCAGACACAACGGCGCAACTCTCGGATTTGCTAACGAGCGCACAGAAACTAGTCATTACAAAGATGCAGCAGAAAGGCGATGAAAACTTGGAAGTGAAATTGGAAGAGAAATTGATGGCTATAAAAGCTGCTCTTAACGGTTTCGAGTATGTGGAAAAGACAACGATTGATGAAGATTTGAGTGAAACTTGACTTTTTTTTGGCAATTTTGCCTCTTAGCATTTTTGAATTGTTGTGCGGTTTATGTTTTTGTTTAATTTGCCGTGATTGCTGGTGTTATTTTCGGTAAATTTTAAGCTCTCTCAACACAAACCATCATTTAACCGATGATGAGAGTGAGCTTGTCTTTCTTTACTTTTTGGTTCTCTGTGACTTCGTTCGGGCACTGAATTGGCCGTCATAGCTTGTTTCGGGTGGGTTCGTCGGTGATAATCTTGTTGATTTTTATGTGCATGTGTTTTGTGTTCCATCAGTAGCTCTGTATGGCTGAATTTTTTGTTTAAAAAAAACTTTGCTGTTAGCGAAATGCAGTCACACGCCGAGCTCAGGTATGCCAGATTCGCCTTATCTGCGCCCCTTGTATCCAGCTGCAGTCCCAGCTATCTGAACGCAGTTTTTTCCCGAACTCGTTCGGACACTTTTTTTTCTGAGAGGTTATTAATACACAAAATCCATCATTTATTAACAGGTGATACTAACACGATGATACTAAAAGAGATGGACGGATGTGATATCCTCGAGGCATCGACTGTGCGCCATAATTTACATCATTCAGCAAATGCTCGACGTGCAGCTTTCGGCTTCTGACTACCTAGATAAAACAGTCAGCTTCATTTACATTTGAAATAGTTACGAAAAAAGAAAAACGAAAAAAGCGAAATCAAAGAACCGGGATCTACGAATAAAATCCAAAGAAAGCAAAAGCAAATAAGAACTGAGAAAACAAAAATAAAGAACAGCTGAAAAACTTAACAAAAGCAAAAACTTATGGGATGGGAATTGCTTTATAAAAGTTCATCTGCAGCAATTGGCTTCCCTACTTAGAAGGCTGATGCTTAGTTAAAGCTGAGAGCACTCAGCTTTGTCTATGCAACTCAACCTTATTGGCTTTCAGTTTTACCTAAACATCAGCTTCATAAATGGGGGAGTCCTCTACTAACCCAGGTTTGTTTTTACCTTTTTTTGTAGTGTTTTTTTCTCTTTTTCCCTTCACTGCTATTTCTAGTTTTGTTCTCTTTTTCCACAAA